AAACCTACTACGCGGAGGTCCTACAATTATAAATGGCGAAGGTTCTGTTCTTCCTTAGGTGATGACGCCCCTCGAACCACCTCAGTGAGTCTTGAGTTTTCCAATTCCTCCTCTCCCTAGCTGACTCGGGACTCTCCCATTCATCGTTACGAGTTAATTTGGCCGCCCTTTCGTCCTACCATGTTCAAGTTGACGGATGCACACTGGTTTCCCATCTGCTTTTAAAAAGTTTTTAAAAAGGTTTATTGCATCTCTACCCTCCTGCCAAAACTCCAGTCGCTCCCTGGGACTTTCCTCTAGTTCTCAGCCAGCTCACGAGGAAGCCCTGTAAGCCGCTCGCAACATGCGACCTCAAACTTCTAGCATGGAAAATGGCCTTTTTAATTGCTGTCACCTCGGCTAGGCGAGTGGGAGAAATATTGGCTTTCCGACACGATACACCTTACCTGTCGTTTTTGCCAGATGGAGTCCGCCTCGTACCGGACATTTCCTTCCTGCCGAAGGTGGTGTCAGAGTTCCACCTGCAGGCGGAGGTCTTCCTCCCAGATTTCTTCCCAACTCCAACATCTGCGGAGGACAGACTCTTACCCACTTTGGATGTGAAGCGGGCTCTCTTGTTCTACCTCAATAGAACACGCCCAACGAGACGAGACTCCCAATTCTTCGTCTCTTATGCACCAGCAAGGCTGGGGACTCGCATCACGGCTCAGTGCCTGTCAAAGTGGATTGCGGGGCTCATCCCTCTCTGCTACCTAATCGCCAAACAGCCATTGCCTGGCCCTGTCAGGGCTCATTCTACCAGGGCTGTCGCAACTTCTACTGCAAAGCCGCTACATGGGCCACGCCTAACACCTTCATCAAGCACTACGCCCTAGATGTCCGTAAGAACACCAATACCAACATGGGACATCACATTCTGTCTTCGGCTACGCAGTAAGGACTTGCCAGCACCCTCCTCCAGGTAGGCCACTGCTTGCTAATCTCCCATGGGTGTGAAGCACAGAGACCACATCGAAGATAAACAGGCTGCTTACTTCTAACTGGTGATCTTTGACTGGTCATCTGTGCATTCACACCACCCGCCCTCCTTCCCCGCTGCTTTCAGCTTCTACATTTTCAATAGGGGTTGATTTGCGGCGGTTTGAAGGAACTGGCGGGATGTCCGCGCCCTCCCCTCTGGGCATGCGCGGTGGGGTTCCTGCGCATGCCCGAGAATTGGGCGCGAAAATCTGTTAAAAGAGCTTGCTACAGCTCCGATCGATCCAGCGCGTGTGCACTGTATCCCATGGGTGTGAATGCACAGATGACCACTCGAAGATCACCAGTTACAGGTAAGCAACCTGTTTTTTCCCTTGCTCTAAAGCCAGTTGACTCCAACTCTAGGGATTCGGTGCTCCTCTCCGTTTCCAAGCCGAAGAGGCAGTGCTGTCCAAAGACATTTCCATGGTCATGTGGCTGGCATGACTAGACACTGAGGAGCACGGAACACTGTTACCTTCCCACTGAAGTGGTACCTGTTTATCTACTTGCAATTTCTTGCTTTCGAACTGCTAGGTTGGCAGGAGCTGGGACCAGAGATGGGAGCTCACTCTGTCATGCAGCACTCAGGGCTCGAACTGCTGAACTACCGACCTTCCGGTCTCCAGGTCAGCGTCTTAACCACTTGAGCCACTACAGCCCCAATCTCCAACATAGAATTTACTTTTTTCACTGCTGCAGCACACTGGATTGGCATTTTCATTGAGCTATCTACTACAACCCAGAGATCTTTTTCCCTTTCAATCTCAGCAAGTTCAGACCCCATTAGCCTATACTTGGAGTTGGGATTTTTTGTTCCAGTGTGCACCACCTTATGCTTACTTACATTGAACTTCATTTGCCACATTATTGCCCACTTACTGAATTTGTGGAGATCCTCCTGGAGCTCTTCACCATCATCCTTGGTTTTTCATCATCCTGAATAATTTTGTGTCATCTACAAACTTGGCCCCTAGACTGCTGACTCCTTGTTCGAAATCATTTATGAACAAATCCCAATATCGATATTTGTGGGACCCCACTGCTTATTCCCTCCATTGTGAGAACTGTTCATTTATTCCTACTCTTTGCTTCCTGTAATTTAATCAATTCTTAATCCATACTAGAACCCATCCTCTTATCCCATGACTGCTAAGTTTACGCAGGAGACTTTGAGGTACCTTGTCAAAAACCTTTTGAAAGTCCAAGTAAATAATGTCTAGTGGGTCACCATTGTTTACATGCTTGTTCAGTTGTTCAGTTTCTCAGAGAACTCCAAAAGGTTGATGAGGCAGGACTTCCCTTTGCAGAAGCCACACTGATTTTCCCTCAGTAGGCTTTGTTCCTTTATGTGCCTAATAATTCTATCTTTGATTACAGTTTCTACTAATTTGCCTGGGACAGACGTTAGGCTAACTGGCCTATAATTTCCTGATTCCCCTCTGGACTCCTTTTTAAAAATTGGTGTAACATTTGCTACTGTTCTGTCTTCTGGTTCCATGGCTGAATTCAGTGATAAGTTACATATACGGGTTGATAGATCTACAGTCTCACATTTGAGTTCCCTAAGAACTCTCAGGTGTATGCCATCAGAACCTGGAGACATTATTTTTTAATTTCTCCTATAGGTCTAGAACTTCATCACCTCAATTTGACTCAGTTCTTCGGATGCCATTCCTGAAAATAGTGGCTGTGTTATGGGTACATGCCCCACACTTTCCACAGAAGCAAAAAATTCACTGAGCTTCTCTGCCATCTTCCTTTAGCAGTCCTTTTATTCCTTGGTTATCCAAAGGTCTAACTGCTTCTCTGGCTGGTTTCCTGCTCTGGACATATTTTTTAAAAATTATTGCTTATCTTGATGCTTTTAGTGACCTGTTCTTCAAATTCTCTTTTCACATGCCTAATTATTAACTTAGATTTCTTTTGCCAGTCTGTAGTCCTTTCTGTTCAATTCATTGGGATAGACCTTCCACTTTTAAAAAGAAGACTTTTTATAGCTTCCTTGACGTGTTATTAACCATGCAAACATTCTTTAAGACTTAGCATTGCCTTTCCTAACCTGGGGAATACATTCTATCTAGAATTGAATTAGCGTAGTTTCAAATAGTTTCCAAGCATCCTTTAGGGATTTCTACAGCATGACTCAAGCACACATTTACCCATTCAATGTGAGAGTAGTTGAAATCTCCCAATATCACAACATTCTCTGCTTTAGTCACCTCCCTTATTTCCTTCTTGAGATGAACCTCAAGGGTCTGATCAGGTGGGTGATAGTACAAGCCTCATTTTTAAATAATCCTTAGGGCCAAGTATTTCCACCCATATTGCTTCTAATGGGGAGTTCATTCCCCTAATGTTTTCTGTCTTATTTTATTCTATGCCCTCTTTGATATACATCACAACATTTTCCCCAACCCATCCCTCCCTGTCCTGCCTATAAAGCTTATACCCAGGGATGACTGTATCCCATATAGTTTCCCCTTTCACCATGTTTCTGAGATACCCACTATATCTAAATTGTCATTTAGCACCACTCCAGCTCTCCCATCTTTACATACTGATACCTATAACAAGTTTCCCTGTTCAGCAACCCTCACCTCCCTCAGCCCCTTTGTCTCTACACATGGCCCTCCTCTGCCATCTTACCCTTACTCCCAAATTCTATTATGCCCCTATCAATTTTACCCTGAGTGTTTACACAATTGTCCCTTTGGACTGACTTGTCCCATACTGAAAGTTCCCGAGCTCCTGTCAGCTTTCCCCCTGAAACTGACCATTTACACAATGGTACATGAACAGAAAAGAGCTTGTCCTTATTGATCAAGAAATAGAAAATACAAAGAAGGAAGAACAAATATGCAGTATTCAAATAATTTACTAAAATGCAAATACAATATATAACTTTCAAATAATTACAAAACAGTAATTAATGAAATTCAATTCAAGATACATGGATGAGGACTCAAAATCTATAGTTTGGCAGTCATTGACTCCTCTCAGGAGATCTTAAGAGCCAATGTCAGTTCAAACCTTCAGCAATCTGTGTAATAATAATGCTTTTCTAGCATATATTTGCATCATTAGTAATATTATTTTTACATCACATTTTTTTTTATCTATAGTGGCTCACTTTTGTTTCTCATGGACTTTTAGAAGCTGGATTTTTAGCCTCATAAGAGTCAGTATATAGGACCGGATCTAAACTAAATCTTCTGCTAACAGAAGAGGTGGAATGATTTCCACCAATTCTTTCTTCAAGCTGCAGACCCCCAATTTGTATCCCAGGAACAGAATTTTTGAGAGATCAGAGGGCTACAGGGGTGGGGGAGCAGAATGTTCTGTTCCATTGTCAGAAGTGCCTTCTATGTATAGGAACTTTAGCCTGGATCCACCTCATAGCATTTACAACCACTTGACTAGCAATAGAGCAATTTCTATTAATTTATTTGCCAGGCAGCTCTTCAGGAATGTTTAAGAAAATCTGAAGTAGGATATGCATCAGTTATTTAGAAATAAGTATGACAGTAAAACATTGTGTTTCTTGAATGAAACCTCATTTTTATTGAAAAGGCAAACAGTTCTGTACCCAGTTTATCTATAAAAGTCACATATTTTGTCCTGTTTTACAGCATTCATCCAGAGCATACCTGCACCCACCAGTGGAGTTAGATAAGATCCATTCTATACAATGTTGGGATATGGTCTGACATGTCTTATCCACTTCATACACTCTATTAATGTTGAACTGAAGTGAATATAGTTACCTAAGACCGAATTCATATGTTTACCTCCCAGAAATTGTGTACAGAGTAGATTAATGTGTTTATGTGCACTTCCACTAATGTGTGTTTAACATAACATGTGATGTGTATAACTAATTCCTGTTACCTTCCATCCAGAAAGATGTAAATTAGGTCATTGTGTGTGTGTTTGTAAGTCTTCTTATTCTACATCACTTGTCATACTGTACACTCTTTCAGGAGAAAGAGAACCAAGACCTTGTGGGAAACTACCATAGGGCCAATGAACAGGTTAAAAAATGGGAATCAAAGTTCCATCAAATAGAAGTAGATTGTAACTCTCTCCAAGTAGAACTTCTCAATGTAGAATCTGAGAGCCACAGTCTGAAAGAACGAACGGAGTCCCTTGAAACAGAGATTGGACAAGTAAGTTTGAAAAGCATCATCATCTAATTTTATTTCTTATGGTAGATTTCTTTCATTTGGTAGGCAGTTGGGCAACTGCCTTTGTCTTTTATTTGCCTTTAAGAGATTTTTCCTTGTTTTTCACTTCCAATGTGAGTAGTTTGAAGGTTCTTGTGAGGTCTGTATCAGTGGTTCATTTGGTAAAAAGCATGTTTGTGAGAAGGGAATATACCTTCTACTGAATATGATTGGTTATGCCTTTCCAGTCTTAGGAAGTATCATAAAACAGTAAATAGAAGAAAGCTAGAAATCAGAAGAACAAAATTCCTTTAGAGCACAGCTCATGCTGTTTCCCCCAAAACGACAGTATTTAATACAACCCAGACATTATGAATATGTATGCATATTTATATATAAATACACATAACTGTTTTTTGAGTAGAGACTTGTTTCAAATAATTTCTTCTTCAGCTATTTTGGTCATCATATTACAAAGTACTCTGCTGTCTCTCAGAGGAGGTTGGCATCTACTGCTGATGGGCAATTCTCTCCTTTAGGTTTGGAGGCAGGGAGAAACTTCCAGCTTGCTGTCTCTATCACCAAGAGGCTTGCTTCTCCTTGAGTATGAGACTAGGGATCTTATGGGGCTCTATCATCATTTGTCCTATTCTATCTTAAATCCTAATTTTAATCTTCCTAGCTTCTGTTCCTCTGTCTTTCTACATTTTCCTGATTTCTCTGTCCCCATTGGTGGAGATTTCCATCACAGCTGATAGAGGGCCCTGATGGAGCCAAAGGAGCTGGAGTGCCTGATCAGCCAAATTCCCTTCATGCATCCTAGTTACGTCCTGTTATCCAATGAGGCCCTGATTTCCCAGCTTTAGTGGAACTGCTATTGTAGAACTCATGGACAATTCCAGTAACATCAGACACGCTGAGCCCTGGTCCAGTCTTCTGCTTGGGCTGTGGGTTGCTCATGCTGACTGGCTGGAAACTGAGAGGCAGCATCCCCTGAGAAACTGGTTTCTCTGGCAAATGGTTCAAGCAATGCTGTCATTGTGTAGGCCCTTGATAACTAGACTGTATCACACAACCTGGAAGGCCTTGCTATAGTGAATGCATTCCTATAATGAAGTGGAAGGGAAAAGCTGACAGCAATAGAAGCTTTGCTGCAACCAATCATGTACTTCCTTCAAGGAGGCTTAGCACAAGGATTGAATCCCAACATGTTTTTAGAGGTAAGTGACTGCAATGGCAACCGTGCTAAACCCAGTTGATGGTATCACACTCTCCAGACTGCCCTCACATAAAACATTTGTATCCCCTCAAACCTCTGTTGGTCTATAGCTTTCTCTTGTGGAAACTACTTACATTGTTTCAGGCATTTGTCCAGCAACCATTTGAGCCATTTATAAAGCTGACCATAAAGGTCTTCCTATTCTTAACTGACATCCTTAAAGGTACAAGGAATTATACAAAATTCATATAAGGAACTCAAAATGCAAATAACATACTGATCACTCCTCCACAAGATTGAAAGAAAACTGCCTGTCTCTAAATTAGAATTTAGACCACCTGTCAATCAGAAATCTGAAGAAATCCTCTAAGTTTCAAAATCATCCTAGATGTACAGATGTTGTTGAAAAATCTAAAAAAACCCCACCCCAAGTAGTGACATTGTCCCCCCTCTGTTTAAAATGTTACCAAGGAAGCATCCAAAATCTTATTTTTAATTTTTGAATGATGTTCTGCAAGGTGGGAACTAATTTTGTGAGGAATTCTTTCAGTATATAGAGACCCATAGTCTTGCACGTTAACATATATCACCTTTTTTGTGGCATAGTTAGAAAATGTCATAATTTAAAGAAATGATAATTAAGGTGTTTTAAAATATTTAAATTCCATGGCTAGGAAACAGTATTAAAATGATGAACAGTAAGTTCTCTAGCAGCCTCTATAGAATGTATAGAAAAGAGCAAGAATCCAGTAGCAACTTTAAGACTAACACAATTTGTGGCAGGGTATTTTTTAATTATTTATTTATTATTTATATTTTTATCCTGCCCTCCCCGGAGGCTCAGGGCGGCTTACACGGCATATTGCCAAATCATACAATAGAACAATAAAAATATTAAAAATATTAAAACACATCACATTCATAAACAAATTTTGGTGCTCCTCTCCTAAAAACAAGATGGCCGTCTCCTAGAACGTCCCATTCTCATCCAAAGTGCCCGCATCATGGTGACCCTGTACAGAAATCATGGAGCGTTGGTGGTACAATGGCAATGGCGGCTCCTATTCAAACGCTTGGCGGAAGAGCTCCGTCTTGCAGGCTCTGCGGAACTGTGCTAGGTCCCGCAGAGCCCTGATTCTCCTCTGGGAGCTCATTCCACCAGATAGGTGCCACCACTGAAAACACCCTGTTCCTGGTCATGACGAGTTTGATGACCCGGGGACCTGGCATGTCCAGTAAGTTCTGATTCCCCGACCGTAGTGCTCTTGGGGGAACATGGGGAAAGGCGATCCCTTAAGTAGGCTGGTCCCTGGCCATATAGGGCTTTAAAGGTAATAACCAGCACTTTGAAGCGAACCCGGTACACTATAGGCAACCAGTGCAGCGCTTTCAGCACAGGCTGGATGTGATCTCATCTAGGAAGATCCATCAACAGCCTGGCTGCAGCATTCTGCACTAGTTGCAGCTTCCGAATTTGCGACAAAGGCAGCCCCATGTAGAGAGCATTACAGTAGTCTAGCCTCAAGGTGACCGTCGCGTGGATCACAGTGGCTAGGTCATCCCGGTCGAGGAAGGGAACCAACTGCCGTGCCAGCCGAAGGTGGTAAAATGCCGACTTCGCAGTGGCTGCTACTTGGGCCTCCATCGTTAACGAGGAGTCCAGGAGCACGCCCAAACTCCTAACCTCCGACGCCGGCACCAAGGGTGCCCCGTTGAAGGTCGGGAGAGGGAGCCCCAACCCCGGACCGATCTGACTCAGCCCCAGGACCTCCGTCTTTGCCGGGTTTAATTTCAGCCGACTCAGTCTGAGCCACCCAGCCACGGCCTGTAACGCCCGACTAAGGTCATCGGGAGTGGAATCCGACTGGCCGCCCAACATCAGATACAGCTGGGTGTCATCAGCATATTGATGACACCCCAGCCCACAACTCCGGGCAATCTGGGCAAGGGGGCACATGTAGATGTTAAACAACATCAGGGATAGCACTGCCCCCTGAGGTACACCACATTCAAGGGGCCACGTCCGGGACCGCTAATCCCCTATCGCCACCCTCTGTCCCCGACCTTGGAGAAAAGAGACCAGCCACTGAAGGGCAAGCCCCTGAATCCCCACGTCGGCAAGGCGGTGGGCCAGCAACTGGTGGTCGACCATATCAAAAGCGGCCGACAGGTCTAACAACAACAGTGCCGCCACTCCGCCTTGATCCAGATGCCTACGGAGGTCGTCAGTCAGTGCGACCAGAACAGTCTCCACCCCGTGACCAGGGCGAAACCCGGACTGGTGGGGATCGAGGACAGAAGCGTCATCCAGAAATGCCTGCAGCTGTGTTGCCACCGCTCTCTCTATCAATTTGCCCAAAAAAGGCAAATTGGACACCGGCCGATAGTTGGCCAATTCGGCTGGGTCTAGAGATGGCTTTTTCAGGAGAGGGCGGACCATCGCTTCCTTGAGTGTCCCTCCAAGAGAGACTTGTTAATAATCTCCCGCAGGGCACCTCGGAACCCCTCGCGACCCATTTTAATGAGCCAGGAGGGGCACGGATCAAGGTCGCATGTGATTGGGCGCACTACTGCAAGCAATCTGTCAACTTCTTCCAGACTGAGTGGGCAAAAACTTACTAAACCCGACTCCAAAGACGTGCAAGGGGCCTCAAGTTCACTCACTGTATCAATCGTAGTGGGGAGGTCACAGTGGAGCGCCAAGACTTTCTCTGCAAAATAGCTCGCAAATGCCTCACAGCCGATGTCCAATTCCCTCACATTTTGCCTGCCCTGTGGCAGAGCTGTCAATGACCGAATCATTCTAAATAATTGTGCCGGGCGTGAGCTAGCAGATGCAATCCTGGCCGCGAAGAACTCCCTCTTTGCGGCCTTGACTGCCATCTCATAGGCCTTCATAAACATCCTATAAGATGCTCTTGATGCTTCGTCGCGAATTCGTGAATCTCTGCCACAAATTTTGTTAGTCTTTGAAGTGCTACTGGATTTTTGCTCTTTTTTACTGCTACAGCCAAATTAACACAGCTACCCATCTTGATTTATCTCTGTAGAATCAATGTCACACTGGTTCAAACAACCCTTTAGATTCCTATTCCATCTTTACTCTACTTGGGGTAGAATTTCACATACTGGAGTATGGTATATACCACTAGGAAATAACATTACTGTGAAGCTTTAAGGTTCAAAGCTCAGTGTTGGAAGAAGGCATTAGCTTCTGCTGCTGAGTTCACCACATTGCCCACAATAGCAACAGAACAGATTGATTTGGGATTAAATATCTGTAAGCGGTATTTTTTAGTATCTCACCTATTTTGACAAATTTGCTTTTGCTTTTGCTATCTAACTTCTCTAACAAGATGTCAGGATCCTGGTAAATCAGTTCTCACCACCAGTCACTTTGAGAAAAGCTAACTTTATTGAGACGTTGACAGATACCATACTGGACACGATCTATTGTTAAGACTGAAGTTGAACGCTCAGAGGCTACAGATATAGTGTGTTCAAGTAAAGGCACTAAAGATCAGGACCCAATCACCCCACAGTATTTGCCTACCAGAATTTACAGTCAACTACCCCCCCCACTCAACAGGTACCACTCCCAAAGCATCCCTCCCGCCAAAGCTAACAGTCACCTACCCTCCCTCAGACATGTAGCCTCTACATAGCAAGAAAAACAGAATAACAGACATTTGAGAAGCCAGAGCATTTGGCCCCATTAAGGTGACAAGCCTCTGGCACATCAAAGAGAGAGGATCCTCCTCTCTCAATGGCAGGCGAGCTGTAAAATGCACAGAATCAAGCCTGACACAAGGGCTTGATTCTGAAAAGAGTTTAGCACTAAGTGCCTAGTAGTGAATAAATTTTAGACGAAGAAGAAGAAGACGAGATTAGATTTATACCCCGCCCTTCACTACCCAAAGGTGCCTTAGAGTGGCTTACAAATTCCTTTCCCTTCCCCTCCCCACAACAGACACCCTGTAATGTAGGTGGGGCTGAGAGAGCTCTGACAGAAACTGCTCTTTTTTCAAGAACAGCTCTTATCAGAACTACAGCTTGCCCAAGGTCATCCAGCCAGGTGCAAGTGGAGGAGTGGGGAATCAATCCCTGTTCTCCCAGATTAGAGTCCGTGCACTTAACCACTACACCAAACTGGCTCTCTGTTGGTCCAAGAAGTTCCCTCTTTGCATATGAACCCTGTTTTCCATATTCTCAAGCCTGGGTCATCTAGTCCAGTTGCACTGCTACAGGGCTAGTGATTGACAGTCAGGGAAAAGCCTTTGTCTATGCCCTTGGTTTCACAAAGGCTGAAGGCCTTATACATAGTCCAAATGCATAAATTCCAGCTGTTCTGCTATAAAGTTGCAGAATTGGTTCAGAAGCAGCAAGATGAAATGGGAGTTGTCACTTATCCCCTATCGTCTCATTTCTTTTTTATCAAATATGGCAATATTATTGGAGCACTAGTTTCTTGAGTTACAATGAGCACTTAACCATAAGGCTGAAGTTGGTTCCTTATTCCCAGTTCCTTTTTCATTCCTTATTCGCATCTTATTCATGAATTCATCCAAAAACACTGAGGAGAGTTTGAAATCTCTGAACCTCAAAATAAGATTTGGACCCCTAAACTTCATACAACCCACGTTCAGCGGACTCTCCCCTTCAAGGCGCCATATGCATTACAATAATTCAAAATCATCTTGCTTTCGATATGCTGGCAGCAAAAGGAGGAGTTTGTGCATTAATTAGTGTATCCTGCTGCGTTTATATTCCTGACTATCAGGAGATGATTGATAACCATGCTGATCAAATATTGCAAGTGGCCTCCTCCTGCTCTCACCTTCCTGGATAGATTTTCTCTTTGAGTGGCTGTCAGGTTTGGGGACTGGATTGTGTCCAATTTTCATAACCTTGAGTCCAGCTGCATGTTATCTAGATGGGAGGTACATGTCTTAAATAAAAAGTAATTGTCAGCAACATTTAGGAAGGCTGCAGTCAACAAACCATGCGTTATGTGACGAAAGAACTGCGCAGGTAAGCTTAAAGAAAATCATACTGTGCAGATGCTGTAACATGGACATTGCAAATGTATAAATAACAGCTGCACTCAGGGAGGGACTAACCGCTTGGCTGTTTGCTAAACGGTTCCCTTTATCCAGAATAAAGTTTTTCCTTCTGCTACCTGCATCCCTGCCTTGATGTGACTTATTGGTTTGGCTACAGCTCACTTGGCTTACAAGTGTATCTCCTTCTTTTACCCTACATGATGATCATATTGAACAGACAAAGAAAAATCAAGCTTCCAGAAAGATAAGAGCATATCAAGATCTATTTGGATATTTGGGGGGGGGGGAGATCAGTAGTTGCCATCGACAACTCTGCTTTCCTTTGCTTCTCTCACACTGGCCTTTCTAAAGATTTTTAGAGTGGGGGGCTTTGTTCCATTGTTTTTCTTCAAATTCCTGAATTCTGGTCTATCCAATGTGGTTGATTAAAAACAGTATGTAGATGTTTATTTCTTACACAAATATATTCTAAAATTTGAATTTGCAGCCAAAACACAGGATTTGAAGGTTTATCACAATTAGATATGGATGGTATCTCAAGATACCAAAGACTTTCTAGAAAAAATACCAACTTACTTAAACTGTTATTCTTTAAAATGCGCATATAAAGTTCAGCGAAATTCATATGGATTTTGCTTTTACAGGATTGTGCTCAGTAGATGCATTTAATTATTTTAGGATCTGCTTACAACCTTTAAAAATATTAAACTAAAGAATTGTTTTAATGTTCTGTATTAGAAAAAAATAAGCCCAACACATTTTCAGAAAAATTAGTTTCCAGTTAGTAAAAAAATTTTTCCCCCTAAATATGTTTTCTATATTTATGTATAATATTAATTGCCTTTATCAATACCTGTTTTGGCAGCATTTAGCAACAGAAAAAGCCTACAAGTCACAGATTTCTACTTTAGGCAAATCACTTGTAAAAATGGAGGAGGAACTCCACAAAGTCCAGCTGGAGAAAGTTTCATTACTTTCAGATTTGGCATCTACACGGGAACTGTGCATTAAATTGGACACTAACAAAGAGATGTTAACTCGGCAACTAACCAGCACAACACAGGAAATGGAACGTGTAAGTATATAATCTAGGCATTGTTTAAAGCTAAGATTAAAAATGGGAAACCTTTAGCTTGGAGTGCACTTTAGCAAATGTAAAAGTCTTTGTTGTAGTAATAATATCTGTATTCAGGAAATTTGCATAAGATTTTCAAAACAGTAGCAAGGAGGTATAAGTAAAATGTAATTGTATGAGAGTGAATATGTATACACATACATTGAAATGGAGTGAAGAATAAATCCATATTCAAATGAGCATGATCCAAATTGAGCATTTTTAAGTCCCTTTGATCTTAGCAAAAGAGTGTTGTATGTGATAGGTTATAGAAATGCTTGGTGGTTGCCCTGGTCTACCCAAAGGGGAAATAACGATGGCCCTTTCTGCACTCTCCTTTAAATCCATGTTCACCGTGGTGTCCTCCAAGCAATTCTGCACTAATGTGGAATTCAACCTTCTTTTTAATCTAGGTTTTTTCCCCCATTCAGCACTAAAATCAAGTTCAGCCTTATTTTTATTCCAGATATTTCCCCATTCTGCTTTACATTACCACCCTTCAGTGGTCAGCCCAGTTTCAGCCTGCTGTTGCCCCGGGTTATTTGGATGCTGTTTTGCTGTGGACTTAAATTGCCTTGACTCGAACACTGAGAAAATCCAGAGTGGCAGGCAAATGTGGAAAGGACCAATAACAAATCTAAGACCAATAACAAATCTAAGGCTGTTAGGGAGTTTAACATGAATATAATACATAGTTAAGCATTCAGTGGAGCATCAAAGCATGACTATTAAACAACTGCTGTACCTACAGCAGTGCTTTCGGATTTGTATCTAACCATGACACACCCTGGGGGGAGGCGTATGTTATAGTGTATATCTAGCATACAAGAGTTTCTGGAACACATCCAGAGATGCAAGAAATAGTAATTTGTTAACAAATCTTGACAATGTTACTCAATTAAGAATAAAGATTAGGGCTAGTTTATTACAGTAAAAATATCTGCAAATGTTATGTGGAAGCATGAAACACACTAAACACATGAGTAGGAAGGATTTCTTCAATCGGTCAGAAAGCCTTCGACAACATATTAGTCAGAAAATTCACTCATTGAACACCTAGAACATCACCATGCACCAGCAAACAGAACAGACAGTCTATTTTGAACGTGTACTGGAGTTCTAAAAAGTGCTCAGTTATGAATCAGCTGGATCATGTCCTGTGTGTTCATTTATTGTGCTAGATTTTATACAGTTATTAAATATTGTGAATGTTCTTGACAGAGTGGGAGCCACAGTTCTTGGCCTCTAGATATGGGGAAATGATTATTTTGACGTCTGGAGAAATGACATTGAAAGGAAGAGGGATGATAGCGTTTAGCTTGCAATATGAAATTTAATTCATTACTTTCTAATGCAAGGTATATTAGATAAATCTCATTGTATCTATGTTATAGACAGTGAAGATGTTTTAACTTTTGGCTTTCAGTTGCAGAATGATTGGGAGTCATCTCACTCAGAAATAGAACTCCTTAGAAAACAACTCACTAATGAAAGAATATCAGTAAAAAACCTGGAAACATTGTTAGCATCCAACCGAGAAAAGGAATTTCAGTCTCAGATGATAAACCAGGATAAAGAATCTGAGATTCAGCTTCTTAGAGAGCAGCTTTCTCTGGCTGAAGAGAAAATGTGAGTAAACAACCAGAAGAAACAACAATTGACCTGCAGTTTCTTTTCTTATTTTGTTGGTATGTCTCTGTAGTATTACCAAATTGGGGGAAATTCTATAGAGATGAGGAAAAAGTACTGTTAGGACTGGCAGCCAGCTACTTGAAGAACTGTTGAACAGCAAGCAGACCGAAGCTTTAGAGAAAAGTGTTTTTAGGATAGGAGTAAGCTGCAAGTTCGGTGCTGTGGTGGCTCAAACGGTTAAGAGGCTAAACTGCACACCGGAAGGTCGGGAGTTCAGCAGTTCGAGACCCGGGTGCCACATGACGGAGTGAACTCCCGTCTCTGGCCCCAGCTCCTGCCAACCTAGCAGTTCAAAAGCAAGAAATTGCAAGTAGGTAAATAGGTACCGTTTCAGTGGGAAGGTAACAGCATTCCATGCACCTTGGCGTCTAGTCATGCTGGCCACATATCCACAGAAACTTCTTTGGACAGCACTGGCTCATCGGCTTGGAAATGGAGAGGAGCACCCCATCTCTAGAGTTGGATTCGACTGGCTTTCGAGCAAGGGAAACCTTTATCTTACCTTTACTAAGCAGCAAGTTATAAAAACCTTTCCCATAAATTATCAATCTAGGGCACATCATACACAGAGCTGATTATCCACCCTGGTGCCCTGGAAAAACAATGTTGCACAAGGTTGCTGTTCATTGAGTGATCCACTGTGCAGACTGGTCACTGAGAATATTTCCAGAGTTTTCTATAAGATGAATGCTCCTCCTGCCTTTGGCTTCCAACCAAACCTGACACTGACTGAAAGCGGAAGTATTTATTCCCTCAGTTCTCTACATGCTGCAACCAAAGACTCTGAGGGAATGTCCCAGAATGTTCTCAGTGGGGCAGGAGGAATGAAATCTGTGACTGCAACCCTGTTTTCATCGTTGTGGCTGCTGTGCATTCCCACACTGGGAGATGGGTGTGAACCTGTCAAATGAAGAGACCACCTTCCCAGCAGCTGCTTCACATCTTGCGTTGACATCCACCAAGAAGTGCTTATGAAGGAGAAGATGATGGACTAGGTGGATGCTCAACAAATGCCCTTGACAGGAATACACTGAAGAAAAGCAACAGAATGTGAGAAGGCTGGCAGTTCCTTGGCTTGAATGGGGAATAAAAATATGTTGTATGTTATGGAAGACTTATATCAAGGTTTGGTCTGATGAATCCTACATGAAGTATGAGGATGCTGTGGTGGAAACCTCAGCAGACTCTGTTGTTTCTGGGCCCTCCAGCTTACAGGTTACATCAGAAGACAAGCAGCCAGCCATGGCTGCCAGGACAGAAGTACAGATGCCCATCATTAGGAGTCAAAGACTGGAGTTGCTGAGAAACCCACTAAAGAGCTGAATGAGAGGCAGTGTACTGCTTATTCTGCAGAGCGTCAAAAGCAGTATAGTTGGCGAAAGGGTTGGTGTAAAAAGGAAAGAGCAGCCCTCCTACCAGGCTTTGTACATGGTCTAAAGATTTCTGGTAGTGGTTCTTGCAGAAGCCAGTTTCACAAGCAAGGGCTTCAGTGTCCAAGAACTTAAGCTGAGCACCAGTTCTGAGTTGGAGAGACTGATGGGAAGTCACCAATGGTGTTATACAAAGAGGACTCTAAAGGCAGGGTGAACTTGATTGAATGGAGACTTCTTCTTCAGACTTGGTGATGAGGATCAGAACCCAGGAACAGTTGAGCACAGCTCCCTGCAGAAGGGTGTATAGAGCAATACCGATAAAAGCCAGGAAGGGAGTATGAGCAAGGCTTGGCATAAACATACACAAAAAATGACAGGATAATTTTTTACAGGGTGATGGGACTTGGAGGTGCACTTGCAGTAGTGATGAGCACTAAAAACCCTTCCATAGGTAGGCAGCTGAGGAGGCTCAAGGTGGTTCAAAACCAGTCAAGGTCTTCAGTGGTTCAGAACCAGTCACTGCACCAGAATGGAGGAAGGAGAGGCGATCTGCTCAAGATTGCCCTTAACAAGACTATAGATCAACTCAAAAGTACTCTAGCGTGGGAATGGAACATGAGGTAGCAAAAGCAAGTCACACATCTGCGCCAAAACTTTTGTAATCAGTAGCAGGAATTGGAGCCAGTGGACACAAAGGCGAAGGTGGAATTGTCTGTATTAGCCCTAGAGCTAGGCATTAGCAGGAGGCTCAGAATAGTTGCAGTGGGCTGAGACATCCAAAGTCTGAACTGGTGGAGGCACAGATGAAGGTGGAACCATAGCCAACCTGTCCCTTCCTTAGCCTTAGAGCTAGGCTGAAAAGTACTCGGAACGTGGAGTGATTTCAGCAAGAGTACTTTATTTAAAGCAAGAACAAGAAAAAGGAAACCAGCTCGCAGGCCGGTTTATATGTGTTCAGAAAACCCGCCACCAGTACACCTAAACACACCCCCTACTCCCGATAGGCTATTTACAGTAACCGGGCGACCATTGGTCTCCCGGCTGGGAAGCTAGCCCTTTTGATTGGGCCGGCTAGGATCCTTCGGATCCTTTGTCTTTCGGCTGATGCTACAGAAAGATTGTGCCTGGCCTGCCCGGGCAAGTCCGGGCATGTCAGGCTGAATCCCTTGCATGTGGTAATGGCGGCAGTACATTACATAGGCATTGGCAGAAGGCTCAAAGTGGCTGCAGTAAGTCAAGAATGTCAGGGACACAGAATGCCTGAACCATATGAATAGTTGACTTTAAAACTGCCAGAAGCAAAGAAGCCATAGAGAGCAAGGATTGTGTTTTGTAAGGCTGAGTATTGGTGGCAGCCTAAGCCTTTTTACAGAGATCCACTTTGAGTTGCAGGGTTCTATCAGATCATGCCTAAGGGAGCTTTGTTATTGTGAGATTCTCCAGGCAGATAAGGCACAGAGAATGGACCTCTGTCAGTGCTGTTTTATTGCCACAGTACATAGCAAAAGTGGGCTTGAAGCTCAACATCAAAAAAACTAAGCTCATGGCATCCGGCCCCATCACTCCTTGGCACATAGAAGGGGAAGTCGTGGAAGTAGTGACAGACTTCACGTTCCTGGGATCCCAGATCACCGCAGACTGTGACTGCAGCCATGAAATTAAAAGACGCCTGCTCCTTGGGAGGAAAGCGATGGCGAACCTAAACAGCATGATAAAAAGTAGAGACATCACCCTACCAACAAAAGTCCGCATGGTCAAAGCAATGGTATTCCCAGTAGTCATGTATGGCTGCGAGAGTTGGACTATAAGGAAGGCCGAGCGCCGCAGAATAGATTCTTTTGAACTATGGTGCTGGAGAAGACTCTTGAGAGTCCCTTGGACTGCAAGAAGATCAAATCAGTCAATCCTAAAAGAAATCAACCCTGACTGTTCCCTGGAAGGCCAGATAATGAAACTGAAGCTCAAATACTTTGGCCACCAAATGAGAAGGGAGCACTCCCTGGAGAAGACCCTGATGCTGGGAAAGATTGAAGGTCAAAGAAGACGGGGACGGCAAAGGATGAGATGGTTAGACAGTGTCATCGATGCAACGAACATGAAATTGAGCCAACTTCAGAGGACGGCGGAAGACAGGAGGGCCTGGCGGGAGATGATCCATGGGGTCGCGAAGAGTCGGACTCGACTGTGCGACTGAACAACAACAACATAGCTTGAAGAGGCCCTTTTGAGCCATGATGAATGATGATACAAAGAAAAAAGTTTGTGGTCAATTCATTTTTTTAATTTCCTCCAATGAATATGTATCGTAAAAAGCTTTATATGGAAGAAGTCTCCCTAGCCTCAAAAATGAGGTGAGGAGACAGAACAGCAACTGAGGTCATCCATGTCTGTGGTGGCAAAGGAAGAACTGAGAGAATGAGCACTGCCCCTCCTTGTCATGTGTTGGTTTTGGTGGGAAGCTATTGTGGGTGTATACTCCTTGTCTTCAAGAAATCTCCGGCTGTCCTGCACCTGAACAAAAGCCACAATAATGAACCATTGTTATGCTTGTTCAGCTCTAAGAAAGAGGACAGCATTTGAGAAAAAGGAAATGAGTGGTGTGTATATGTGTGTGAAACAGACTAAGTCATTGCAATAGAAGTATTACATGTGTCTAAATATGCATATATCTAAATAGGTCTCTAAATTACATCTGTCTAAATAGGTATGCAGACGATACCACTCTAAAAAAAAATGAAGAGGACCTAAAGAGCCTCTTACTCAGGGTAAAAGAGGAGAGCGCAAAAGTGGGCTTGAAGCTCAACATCAAAAAAACTAAGATCATGGCATCCAGCCCCATCACTCCTTGGCAAATAGAAGGGGAAGTCGTCGAAGTAGTGACAGACTTCATGTTCTTGGGATCCCAGATCACCGCAGACAGTGACAGCAGCCATGAAATTAAAAGACGCCTGCTCCTTGGGAGGAAAGCAATGGCGAACCTAAATAGCATGATAAAAAGTAGAGACATCACCCTGCCAACAAAAGTCCGCATGGTCAGAGCAATGGTATTCCCAGTAGTCATGTATGGCTGCGAGAGTTGGACTTTAAGGAAGGCCGAGCGCCGAAGAATAGATTCTTTTGAATTATGGTCCTGGAGAAGACTCTTGAGAGTCCCTTGGACTGCAAGAAGATCAAATCAGTCCATCCTAAAAGAAATCAACCCTGACTGTTCCCTGGAAGGCCAGATAATGAAACTGAAGCTCAAATACTTTGGCCACCAAATGAGAAGGGAGCACTCACTGGAGAAGACCCTGATGCTGGGAAAGATTGAAGGTCAAAGAAGACGGGGACGACAAAGAATGAGATGGTTAGACAGTGTCATCGATGCACCGAACATGAAATCGAGCCAACTTCAGAGGACGGCGGAAGACAGGAGGGCCTGGCAGGAGCTGATCCATGGGGTCGCAAAGAGTCGGACTCGACTGTGCAACTGAACAACAACAGCAAAAAATCGGTCTCTATTTGTATGCAGCAGACATGTTTTTGTTTAAAGTTACTTAAAAATTTAAGCACTGAAGGTGTTCCAAGATTTTGGGGCACAGTCTTTTTTATTTTGAATTTTCCTCACCATTTCTTATATCAAATACATTAGAGGTCGATCTTAATGAGCTAATCTTACTGTTTATTTTACTATATTTGAATAGTTACAATATTCTATCATGTCATGTAGTAATTTTATATATTTCATAGTGCTATCCATGGTCAAGATTTTTCACAACTCAGAAATGCAATAACTCAGTTGGAATCCGAGTTAGATATCACCAAAAGACAGTTGGACACAGAACAGTTTGAAAGGCAAGTTGCGTTCACATTGTTCATTTTAAAAAATGTTACTTCTAATTAAATAATATACAATTATATTTGTCTAGAAAGAGGCATTGGTAATACAGCTACAGCAATAATTCTAAGTCCAATGGAATGAAGGCAGCATATATTCAGTGGAACTAAGTGTGAATTGCAGGACCTGTTTACAGTTATACACATTGAATTACTATTCTGAGCTTTGTTTGGGACTGCCTCTGAAGAATGGCAAGAAACAAAGACTGTTTTTTGAGCTCCTAATATCTCACCCTGGAACATAAATTTGAATAAGCCTTGGGCTTTCCTTGTTATTTTTTGGCTTGTGGATTTAAGTGATTCCCTGGAATTATATATAGACTTCTTAAAGAGAAACGACTGATTATTTCTAATAGAAAATATATTTCACCAAAAGGATTACAAACCGTCTTTGGAAAAGAAAGCAAGCAAGGGGGGAGCCAAGAACTGAATTTCCCATTTTGTAACAGTTTCCCATAACATCAGCTTCTTCGTGGAAAGCATATAAGCTTACAGTGCTCAGACTCCATTGTATAATTCCAAAACACTCGATCTGTGTTGACAGATTCCTGGTTGTTAATATGTCTACTGCAGAAACTATCTTGTAAAAGTAGGGATTATTGAAAAAACAACTTCAGAGATTTCTAGTCTGCTGGGCTGAGCTGGCCTTTGTTATTGTATTAAAATGAATGTACAAGACACACACACAAAATTGCCAGATGATGTATGTGCAGGGAGCTTTGCTGATGCTAACTTGATGCAAATTTATTGGGAGGAGCTTAAATGTATAATTGTTGGCACAATCAATCTGGCGATCGAGGAAGCCTTTAATTCAACACAAGATGAAAAGGTAAATACGCCAATACAAACTACAATCAAGATAAAGGAACCCCAGCAATCTATGTTTCAAGACACAGTACAAAACTACAAGCAAGAGGATATACCTTGCAGGAAGACATATACACAAAAAAACAAAAATTACCACAGAAGACTACATCAGAGCTAGCAAAATGCAGACAAAGATCGAAATTTTTAAAGATGTAAAGGAAAAAAAAACTGCAGAGAGAAGACAAAACAGAGCTTATGGAATCCTCAACTACTCTAAGAATTGAATACAGATGGAGAGGCTTAAAAGAAAGCCTGTCTACCTATACAGACAAGAGACATAAATTTAAGACATTACTGAAGAGAAGAAACCAGGCATGTTTGGTCCAACTTACATAATAGCAACCTTGGTGGGTGCTTTCTAAAGCTTAGGAGACCTGGCCCATATAGATGTCAATATTGCGCGGTGTTAGCCCACTGCAGACCGAACACGGATGCAAGGATGTCCAATAAAGACTGGAGTCTTCCAGGCTTGTGTAAAAGTTATTTACAGTTTATTTTACAAAGCCTCCACCAAATCTTTACACTGAGTGACGTAATGCTCCGCTGACAACCAATTTTCCAAGAAGAAAATCTAGCACAGTACCTCACTGTACTTATACATCCATTGGCCAATCAGGGCCAATGCTGAGTCATTGCTAATTAGCTCTGGCAAGCACCAGCCAGAACCGGTCAGAGCCAGCTCTACTGTCACCTAGAGCTGTCTGCTCCTGTCACATAGATGCCACAGATCTACAGCTAGACTTAACAATAACACAGAATGTTGACACTCCCCCTTTAAGTCAGAGCTGTCATACCAAGTTTGTGCTTCAGCACTTCAAACTTTTTACATCAAGGCATTTTGTGACCATGTCAGTCATATTACATTTCTGATGTACAATGGTTTAGCTTCATCAAGCCCCTTACCATTACATATTTACATACATATTTACATCACTTTTAAATTTACAATCACTTTGTTGTTTACTTTTTTGGTTACAGTAAACATCCCTGTTGCATTCAACCTTTATTTACTGCACCACATGTTAGCGTTATTCTTTGCTTTAATGCTTCACTCATTGCTTTATTCACTTGTCACAGAGAGTCATCACATTATTCAGCCCTTGTATCTCAAAATACCTCTGGGCAACCTTATTATTGCAAACCTTCTGTTTGCCTTGGACCTTGCCTCTTCCCAGGCAGTTCCAACACTTTACTGTAGTACTCTGGTTCCTTAACATATACATGATTCACATCATACCCAAACCTTATTGGAGGAACACCCTTTGTACTTCGCTCAGACACTCTGGGTAAAACCCTTTCATTTTGCATGTTATTTGAGGATTGCTCCTCCTTTGGCACAACCTCTTGCTTAGTTACACCATCACCAACACTTTCAGTGCTTGGCAGCACAACCATTTGGGGTAACTCATTTGAATGAATCCTCCTCCAGCTGTCATTTTCACAAAAACTAGCAGACCTACTGAAGCATAGCTTGTGGTACTGATCAGCAAATCTATAGGATTTCATTCCAGGTTGGTAACCAAGAAACACCAGCTTTTTAGCTCTTGCTCCCCCTTTCCTTCTGTGATCTAGAGGGATGTTCACCCAAGCCTTGGCACCAAAGGTTATTAGGTACTCAAGTTGTGGATACCTGTTGTACATCATTTTGTAAGGAATATTGTCCACTGCCCTGGACCATACCCTATTGCTAACATAGCAAGCATTTTTTATGGCTCTGCCCAGTATGCAATACCCAAGTCAGAATCCTTCAACATGGCATGCATCATATTTTGTAATATTCCATTTTTTCGTTCCGCTAGACCATTTTCGGCGGGGGTCGAAGGGTTAGATAATCTATGCTTTATTCCCTTCTTTTTCAACCATGTTTCAAATGTATTTGAAGTAAATTCACGTCCCAGGTCTGTTTGAATGGCTAGCACATTCCCAAACTGGTTCAGTACCCTTTTGTACCAGTACTTAAAAGTAGTGTACACATCTGACTTATTTTTCATAACATATACCCAAGAAAAATGTGACCAGTCATCTGTGATAATTAGAACATACAAGGGGGGACCCGCGATACCCGCGGGGGGGGCAGTCTCTCTCTTTCCCCCTTCTCTCTCTTCCCCCCAGTCTCTCTCTCTCTCTGTGTCTCTCTCTCCCCCCCAGTCTCTCTCTCTCTCCCCCCGGCTCTCTCTCTCC